GTGTATGTATATATAAGTATATATAGTTTTTATGGAATTAGACCCAAGGGAATTCCAGATGCTAAAGGACACTTGTAATGAAGAATTTTATCTTCTTGAATATAAAGAATTGAGAAGATGAAACTTTAAACCTACTTTTAAAGATTCTTTTTGACGTCTTGCAATTCCTAATAAAAAGATAGGTATATGATCAATTTGATCTTTCATAGCATTGCAATAGAGACATCAAAGTGAAACTTTGTAATTTTTGAACCATCAACACCACGGACTGACTGAGTAGTTTTTTCAAAATAACATTTTTGAAAATTTATCCCAAATAAAGGAAACTTTGCCTACTACGGTTCAAGATTTAAGGAAAGAAATTGCTAAGGTCAAAGAAGACATAAAAGTCATAAAGACTAGACTTTTAGCTTTAGAAAAAATCTCACTTGAAAAAAGTGACATTCAAGATGATAAAACATTATTTTCAAAGTAGTTTGATGAAATACATTAATGAATTAATATTTCGGGTTTTTAAACTTGTGTCTTACAATATACGATATGATTAAATATGATTTGTAAGTCTCTAAGTTAGCGTTATAACCACTAAGTAGAAAAAATATGTGTTTAGAATGGATCCTACAAAAAATAAATGTTTAGATTTCAGAATGGATAGTAGTTGACCGAAAAAAATGAAAAAAATAATGGATCCTAGTTATTAACAAAAAAAAAAAAAAGATAAAAATCGACAATAAAAGACTACCGTCTAAAAAATAAAAATCAATCCAAACCAATGCACTTGAATCTTCATTGGATAACAAAATGATTCAAAAATTTCTATTACTCTGAACGAAAATATACCTCTCAAAAATATAAGGACAAGACTGAATTAAGTTGAATTTAATAAAACTAATAAATAAATTTCACAAAGAATTTCCTATTAATGGAAAATAAAATATAAGGGGCCACACCTTGATTGTAAAAAATGGGAAAAAGACGTGGTCGGCAGGATTCGAACCTGCGCGGGCAAAGCCCACATGATTTCTAGTCATGCCCGATAACCACTCCGGCACGACCACTTGACTGTTGTACTATGAACTTTTAACTATAAGTAATCTCACTTTAATCTAACTCCATTGACATTAAATACCCACATCACATTATCTTCCTAACGTCTGATCTAATCCGCAAAAAAATTCTAAAATTCCAAAGTTTTTTCTCCTTTTCTAGAATTGAACCAACCATATTTCTCGTGTCAGCCTTATAATAGACCATGCATAAACTTAGGAATAAATATTTAATATACCAGTGATATAAAATCATCAATTTTAATTTCGTTTTTTTTAATACATAGGAAAGTTGGATCTTCAATTTCGATGAAAGAAAATTATCGATCATTACTTGTAGTCTCATTGAGTATCGATCGGATCCATAGAAGCCCGTTAGTGGGCTTCAGAGAGACTCATCAAAGACATAGTAAAATAAAATAAAAAAAAGATTTAACGACAAATACGATGTATCTTTAAATTAATGTGTGCATAATATATTTTGAAGGAAATTTTAATCATACATGAGAATGACAATTGAGAAAGTGTCGATAATTAATGGGAGAGACTGTCAAGAAGNACATAGTAATAGATTTCGTAACAAACACGACGTATTTGTAAATTAATGTGTGCATAATATATTTTGAAGGAAATTTTAATCAAAAATGAGAGAGACAACTAAGAAAGTCACGATAATTAATGGGAGAGACTGTCAAGAAGTATTGGTCTGCAATAAAACAGAGTCATGGACCTCATGGTCCAATTGAAGAAAGAGAGTGATGGTTAAGTGTTGTCATGAATGCGTGAGAGAGAGAGAATTAAAGAAAAGAGACATACCGGAGTGAGAAGTTATATGTATTTTCTTATTTTATTTTTTTTGAAAAGTTATCATTTAATTACCATTATTCTAACTATTAATAACTACTAATAAAAGTATGAACTCTCTCATCTCCCTGTGTTACTAGCATAAATTAATACTGACTTAAGCATCAAAAGACTTATTTTTTGCTCTGCTCCACGACGAGAGACCTCTAACCATTTGTCGATCTTGCAACTCTCGGACGGATTGATATTTACAAATAAAGGGATGAACCACAACATTTTTATAATTGGTTCAAGTTCAACTGGTACAAAATTTCCCACTTGCAACTCTTATTTCTTCAAGAACTCAGCTCAAAGACCAAAAAAAATAATTGGGCTGCAATGTTTGTAGTGGGACATCATTTGATTCAATCATGATTAGACATATAATCCAATTATGTCCACCTCTAATCATGGGCTTCGAGGAAAGCAGAAGTATGTGGACATAAACACACCTTCTAGACCACGCTATACATATTTTTTTCTCTTTCTTAATTTTTTCTTCAAACTTAATCATCATTCTCCTTAGTTTTTATTTATTATTATTTTTAAAAACTTAATCATCATTCTTTTTCTTTCTTTCTTCCATTATCTTTTTATTTTTTAATTCTATCAAATTCTATTATTAATTCAAGAATTGGACCCCAACAACAATATTTATAACTTTTCCACAAGCATCAGCACTAATGATATAATTAGGACTCTATAATCAAATATTACCATGTGGTGTAATCGTCTAATGATAACTACTTAAATAAAAAAAATGGACCCCACTTATTCAAACAACTACCCATCCATGTGAAATAGTAATCATCTATGTTAAAAAAATGAGGTCACCTTATTCACTTGTTTATTTAATATTAGACGATTATACCACATGACAATAATAACGCGGTGTAACCGTTATATTGAATATTTACTCCTACAGGGAACCAATACTTGGGGCCACACATTCATAGCAACCCCATATTGATCCACACATAAATAACTAAGGTGCACTAAATACAATAAAATCTAATCAAAATGGGAAACATGTAATTTAATTCTTGAAATGGATCAGAGGGCTAGATTCTGGTTGATCGAATTGTAGAAATATATGGAAAGACTTAATTGAGACGCAATTGATAGTAGAAAAATAAAATTGCGACAATTAAAAGTTCAGAGATAAAATTGAAACTAAAAATAAAATTTAGAGACCAATTATAATACTTACCCTCAATAATATTCTCGTAAGCTAAATACGACACGGTGGCGAATTTGACCATTTGTAATAAATATTACCCATGGTACAAATATGACCATGGAACCCATGTAACATGTATATTTGTCGGGGCGGCCCGACAGTTTAAAAAATAAAGCTTAGGTTATAGAATTCAAATTTTTAGAAGGTCTCATAATTTTAGATACATTACTAATTCACAAAAAAAAAAAAATTAAATGCATTAAANTGGAACCCATGTAACATGTATATTTGTCGGGGCGGCCCGACAGTTTAAAAAATAAAGCCTAGGTTATAGAATCCAAATTTTTAGAAGGTCTCATAATTTTAGATACATTATTAATTCACAAAAAAAAAAATTAAATCCATTAAGTTTTAAGCCTTAAAAAAAGTCCCAAAAAATTAATTCCAATTGAAATTCTTATTGTAATAATTTGGGTCCATCATCTAATCTATAACATTAAGATCTTCAAAACCAGAAGTTAAAAAAATATAAAAAATTACTCAAAGTCAACTTATATTTATCCCACTCCTCTCTCTTTTAAAAAAAAATTGAAAAATAGAAATAAAAGTTGAAATCAAAACTCTCTCTCCAATAAAAGACAAAAATAAAAATTCAAACCTCTACTAGCATCCTTCTTCTGTCTCTTTGACATAAATAATTTAAAATAAATTAATTTTTTTTAAATTAATACTAAAAATAAAAATATCTCATTTAGTGTTTCTGATTTAGACCTCAAATTACATTGAATCGCCCCTGGTATTTGTTAAAAAACTTGGTATCTTTTTTATATTTTTTTGCAATACAAAACTAGTTGTTATTGAAATCGTATAACTTGATACGAAGTATCTATTACAAATATTCAATGAGTCATGTAATATCATCAACATAAATAAATTAGTCAAGTTCGGTTTAGAGATTTTTTCAATATGATACATTAGTCGTGTTAATTTATTTGATTTTTTATGTTTAATTTTAACACGATATAAAGCACATAACATTATTGTTGGTCCTAATCCTCAGCAGATATTTGAAAGAAAGAAGGGGAGAGAAAAACATAATAATTTAGTAAACTGTAGCATCATCTTGAGTTAGGTGAAGTGCGGTCCCTCCTCTACTTTCCTAGTAGTGTCTTCCACTAACAACTCTAAAAAGCTAAATACTTCATAATGTCTCTTCACGGTGGAAAGAAAGAACATCCACAAAGGAAAAATGGAAACAAGCTTCATCAAGCTTCCCCTCCCCATCTTCTATTTCCTACTTCTCATCCTGTGTCTCTACAGCGAACCCTTCTGGGCAAGCCATGCACATGCACATGCCCATGCCCACACGCCATGCAACGGATCAATCTCGGAGTGTGAGGAAGCCGTGGAGAATTTGATGGAGTCGGAGATTAGTCGGAGGTTTCTTGAACAGAGGAAGTATATCTCGTCAGGAGCTTTGAAGAAGGATGAGCCGGTGTGTAATGGTGGAGGAGGTGGTGAAGCTTATTCGAAAAGTGAAGGGTGTCTCCCTCCCCAGTCTAACCCTTATAATAGAGGCTGTTCCAAGTATTATCGTTGTAGGAGTGATTCATGATCATAATCTCTCTTTATGTTCATCACATGTGCTCTTATATTTGTATTTTGCTCTCTCTCTCTCTCTCTCATGAAGTTACAATTCAATATGATCTAATTATACCAAAATGGGATTGTTTTAATATCATTCCTAAATGGGAGATCACCTGATTTCGAAATGAATCAAAGCCTTGGATAATAAAAAAGAGTTAGATTATGTATTTCCAACGAGACAGTGGGAAATAAAGACCCAAATCCAAACAGGGACGCAACCCAAATCCTAGATACTTCAATATGACATACTCAACTCAACAAAACATTATCCCAATGTTTTTGGGGTCGACTATGTGTCAATATGACATAAAATTGAAATACAAAGAAAAATGGTTATTCCAAAATTCGATTAACCATCAAAGTAACTCATAACATAACCACATGAACCATGATCCACTAACTCTGAATCTGAATCAGTAGAAAAAAACTGTTTTGGAGATATGTGATCTGATCATGGAACCAGTACATCCATTTTTGTACACAAGAAAGTAACACAAGCTGAAGATTTCTCCAAAAGCATATCTTAAAGATGATTGACTACAATTATATTGGACATAAACCAGTTTTATGGTGAGAAAATCTACTTAAATGAAAGTTTCCAAACCTCTCGAACGTTAGAGGAGCCATCTGCAACTTCAGTAATTAGGCTAGCAGCCATAACACCTGTAAAATGTGGATCATGTACTCAACACACCATATAAAACTTGCAAGCATACTTCACACACCATGCATGCCTCAAGGCTTACCTCAAGACTTGCCTCAGACGAAATCAAGCACCGAGCTTGGAGGGAATTTTGCCATTGGGCTGGAGACCAAGGTGGAGCAAGAAAGATGCAAGATGGAGAATGTATAACAGTTTTTGCACCTCAATGAGGCTAACAGGATAGGAGTCCAGAATGCTTATGCCCTACAACCAGGGATGGCAATTTTTCTACAACCCACAGCCATTTTTAAGGATATGGGTTGTGATTTTTAACCCATTTAACCAAAATGGGCCGGTTCCAAATTTGACTTGTTGAAACCCAAAACAAAAAGTCTGGCTAGGTACAGACCAGGCAAATAGGTGTTTATAAATGGATAGGAATGGGGTTCGGGTTTGGTATTGGCCACTATTTTATTCTTTTATAAAAACAAAAATGTTATATTAATGCATAATAGTCACTCTATTTGCTTTAGAAAAATATTTTTATTTGTATTTGTATAAAAATTAAAACGGCTGGGTTCAGACAATGCACATGTGTTGGTATGAGAACCCAACCCACCTATTTGACACCCTTGGCAAGCAGAGGCCTGCTCATCTTTTGCAGAATCATGTTTCATGGTCGTGGAGCTCAAATATGAGCAGCTCTCTTTCTCTTTGATTGAAAAATCAGATTTTGTTGAGCAACAATGTAATTATAAAGAGGGAAGACAGAAAATAGAAAAGACCTCTAAGGTAATTAATAAATTATTTTGACCCTATTCCAAAACTACATGTACATGCTTTTGAGCATAAACACAAACATGGATGGCTTATGCCTTTGCCTTGCACGCCTCCCCATAGGCATAAATGTGTTGTCACACTAACCATCTTAAAAGTTTGACTAAGAAATCTCCACTGGGGACGACAAAATTAGTAGTTAACTATGTATTGTTGCTTTACCGTGTATTGCATTTTACCATGAATTTGACCTCAGGGTCATAGATTATGTAGCTTATTAAATGTGGATAAGCAACATCTATATCTCCGACACCAACAATATTGATGACTATACACTACATGGCAGCAATAATCATCTTCTAAAAACAAGACATAAGCAGAGAAGATAAACGAAATTAACTACGACTAGCTAGTCTACTTTCATGCATCAACATGGTTTGGATGCAATTAAAGCCAAAAGAAGCAGAAACTTTCAAGATATGCAAATATGACAAAAATCAAAAGAGGTGTAGCTCACCATCTTTCTCTACCACAGATAGGAACCGCCTAGATCCCCCTCCTACTCCAAAATAATGCTTCTTTGCTGCCATGTATATGACTCCATGAGGGCGACTCATGCACTGAAAAAGATAATGTTGAAATTCAACACGAGAATAATTTTTGAATTCACCCACCAAGAAGTATAGCAAATAGAAAAACTAGACAACAGGAACAGGTACCTTCTTTATAAGTTTATAGAGGCTAGGGAGAGCAGAGATTGAGTAAACTGTCTCTGCCATAAAAATAATATCATAGCCAGCAGATTGATCCGGCCCTGGACTATAATTTGTGTCCTTTCCATTTGTAACTATATGAGGGAGAATTTGATGGACTTCACTCCAGTCACCAGCAAAAAAACGGAGTTCTGCTTGATCTGCCACATCTGTAGCCAAATTTTGAGACTTCTTTAGACAATTAGCATTCACATTGGGAATAGTCAGACATTCGAGGACCTCGGCATTAAAATCCTGGAAATGAATGACAGCGGCACCCTGATACAACAAAACAGACGGTAAATACACCAAACAGTTTAAAGCACATCATGATTGAAGTCTTACAGATTGATTGTTCTAGAAATGCACATATACCTTAAGGCAAGCAAAAATCCCAGGAAGTCCATGACCACATCCAAGCTGAAAACCATTAGAGTGGGAATGAGAAGAGAAAAATAGTGGAGACATTCTCCATACATCCAGACTTCTGCAGTCATGTCGAGGGTGTATTTCAATCATATATACACACATCACACTTACCTATTGCATACATACAAACTTACTTCTCTAAGGACAACATAAATTCTTTATCACCGTAGTACTCTAGTGATTATTCATTTTGAGAATCAACTCCCTACCATGGATGTCAAATCTCTATACTTTTAACCCAAATACAAATGTCAAAATGTTGTATCATAAGTTTTGATTAATAAAGTTTAAACTTTTAAAATTCAAAAAATTATTTCACCACTCAGTAACTATAATTGGAGGGCAGGCAAATCAAACTTCACTGACATGATGAAGTCAAAAATTAGTTCCACCTCACTTCCAAAGAGAAAAAATGATTAGTTCCACTTTCCTGACCAAATGCCACAAGCCTTCCTTCTCTGATGGGAAGTGTACATGGAGTTGTTCAAGTCATTTATTCCTGATTTGTAGAAATCTAGTGCATCAAGTACTCAGGTCAATTTGAATGATAAAACTTGTTGGACATCTAGTTACTAGTCATTTTTGCCATGGTGCCCATACAGTCACATTCTTGTCAAAGAAAAGTTCTCTACTATTTAAATCTAGATGTTCTTCTTTGCTGATATAGTTTCTTATTAGGAACTTTCCAATCTTTGACCTACATTTCCTTGAGGTTATGGCTATATAAGTCCAACCAGAAATGCCTCCTTTGTTTGGACTCCAGCTTGTCTTGGAATTAATTGTCTCTCAAAAACTCCAGCTTTAAGTTAATTTAAGATTCTTGGTTATCAAACTCCTGATCCAGCTCCTATGATCGCAAAATGACTCAAAACCCGCAAAAAATAGCACCATGGCAAAATCACTGGTAGATTGAGGTCCTGATCCCATAGGATCGTGGGATCTCGATCCAAAATTAATTTAGTCCGACCCAGTTTTGGCTTAAAAAAAGAACCCAACCCAAATCAGTCCAGTAAATTAGAGCTGACTATATGTTTTATAAATGAAGGCCCAACCCATAAGCCCTTATTCATACGGCGTTGGTTGGGTAAACTAAGACATCTTTGGTTCCACGCCACTCTTCTGTTTTCTCTTCCTCGTTCCTAAAACGTTCGTCCACTGTTGTCTCTTGCTCGTTGCAGAGATGGCCAGAGACTCAATTAATAACTATTATACAACATTTTGATTAGTTTGGATTTTTCTTAAATAGTTCTACCTTTACACCAACTTTAACCTTTTGCCATCAAACCTCATTGATTCTCAACCAAGTCCACTGACAAGCATTAGTGATTTTGCCATCTAAGACATAAAAACTCCACTTATTTGAGCCATATCTTACCACAAAAGTCATTGTAAAAACAGTATTCTGAGATACCAAGAACCATCCTACAGGATTGTACTTTCCTTAGCCTCTATGTTTAAAATTTTGAATTAGTCCACCATTAGATCCCATATCAATAGCACCAGTGTTATTTAAGGTGTAAAGCGAACCGAAACGACCAAGGCTCCTAACGCCTAGGCGAGAAACGAGAAGCGAGAAGCGAAGCGAAACGCTTTATCGAAACGAAGCGAACAGTTAAAAAAAAAAGTAAATATTTTAGTTTAATTACTTACACATCTAAGTTCTAATTTTATATATACTAAATATTTAAATGTAAATAAAACCATAAACATTTAAATTAAAACAAACACTGAGAAGCAAAAATCAGCATTATGCATTACAACATTTAGCAAAAATTAGAACTATGCATTACAACATTCAGCAAAAATTAGCACTATGCATTACAACATTCAACAAAAATCAGCATTCAGCAAAAATCAACACTATGCATTGCAGCATTCAGAAGAAGCATCAACATTAAAATTAGCTATATAAACATTAAAGAAACAGCAACATTCATTATCAAAGAAGAAGGAAAAAAAAACATAAAGCAAAAAAAAAAACCAATTAGAATGTCTAGGAAAGAGCACTAGCACCAGAAAGAAGAAAAAAAAATAGAAGCAAAGAAACGAAAAAAAAAGAAGCAGCAGCACCAGAAAGAAGAAAAAAAAATAGAAGCAAAAAAACGAGACAAGAAAAGCAGCAGTAGCAGTAGAGAGAAGAAGAAGCAGGATAAAAATGAAAGAAGAAGCAGGAAAAAAACGAAGAAGCAGCAGCAGAAAGAAGGTGCAAAAAGAGGAAGAAAAAGAAGAAAAACAACAAAAAGAAGCAGAAGAAAAAAAAACAGAAGCAAAAAAAAAAAAAATCAAAATCAGAAAGAAGAAGCAGAGAGGAAGGAGAGATACAGAAGAGAAAAGAAAAAGAGGAGACAAATCTGGAGCAGCAGCAACGATCGTCTGGGAAGGAGCAGCAGCAATAGCGATTAACCAGGAAGATCTGCACTATCAATTGCCTAGGAAGGAGGAGCAGCAGCGATGACTGGGAAGGAGCAGCAGCAGCGATCGTCGGGGAAGCAGAGCAGCAGCGATGGTTTGATCAGAAAATTAGGGTTGGGTTTTATATTTATGGGATAAGGGGGTAATTGCGTGTATTGGCATCTTATAATTTTTTTTCCAATTGCCCCAATCCAACGGTGCACAATAAAAATAAAAAACTATTTCGCCTCACATGACTAAGGCGTTCGCTTTTTCGCCTTTCGCTTAAGTGAAAAGCACTTGCTTTTCTTGCTTTTTTCTCGCTTCAGCCATCTTCGTTTCGCCTGGTGTGCTCAAGGCGAGAGGCTTTCGCTTCGCCTCGCTTCTCGCCTAGACGAGTGCCTAGGCGCGCTTTTCAAAACACTGAATAACACAAGAGTGTCCATTGACAGAACAAACACTTTACATTTGAAGTACAAACATGAAAACAATGATCAAAATTTTGTTTCGAAAGATTCCAAACAACCAAAATGTTTTCATATCCGAGGGGACCGAAATTGAATTGAAATTTTATTGCCTCAAGTTGTTTCAGAATATTATAAGGTGTTTCGAGGTGGCATGTTTTGAAATATTTCGAGATATTTGAAAATATTTTGGTATATTTTTACCAATGTTTCGAAATGTTTTAGAAATAAATTCCTAATTTGTATCCGTTTTCTAGGTAACCAAAACCATGCACCAAAAAGAAATTTTGATCTTGGCATGGAACCTTAAAGATTTTCCCCCTTGAATAGCCATGAGCTCCCCTAGAGATTCATTACAACCATCATCCTTTCCATTTAGTATTAGGTATTTTTAATCTTTCGTGCTACATCTGCAGCATTTTGGTAAACCTACATCCCATGACATCTCCTGAATGCTTCCTTTTCTTATAATCCATTCCGACTCAGCCAACAACAAAGAAAAAATTGTTTCAATCAGTTAGACTAAAACAAAATGAGGGAATTTTTTTTAAAAATAATAGAAATCATCCATTTATTTGAAACAGTATTATTTAAGGCGTAAAGCAAACCGAAGCAACCAAGGCTCTTAAAGCCTAGGCAAGAAGTGAGAAGCGAAGTGAATTGTTTTACCGAAGCAAAGTGAAATGCTTTACCAAAACGAAGCGAACAGTTAATAAAAAAATAAATATTTTAGTTTAATTACTTCTAAACATCCAAATTCTAATTTTATATATACTAAATATTTAAATGCAAGTAAAACCATATAACATTTAAATTAAAAAAAACACTAATAAGGTGTTGTATTATTGTTAAAGTATATCAACCACAGCTGTTTTTGTAAATCTATTTTTATGTACAGTCGTGGACTTGTACACATACTAAATCACATTTCATAACAGAGTTGTAAACAATTTCATATTGACTGATGTTCAAGCTTGGATAATCAAAACAAAGAGTGACTATATGATAGAATAGCAGATACAGAACAGCACTATCATAACAGTAGAAACAATACAGCAAAACAACAGAAGCAGAAAAAAACAGAAGCTAAATCAGAAAAAAAAAAACAGAAGCAGAAAAAAAATCTCAACATCAGACAATCAGCAGAAGTAGAAAAAAAAAATCAGAACTAGAACTAGAAGAGAGAAGAAGAACCAGAGAATAAGCAGAGAAACAGAAGAGAGAAAAGAAGAAGAACCAGAGAACAAGAGGAGAAATAGAAGAGAAAAGAAAAAGAGAAGGAGACTAACTTGTGTGTCTGACCAACAGTAGTCGTCGTCGTCTGTATTCAGCGAGGAAGGAGCAGCAGAAACCAGCAATCGTTTCTAATCATCTTAGCAAAATTAAGGTTCGGGGGTTGTATTTATGGGATAAGGGGATAAATTTTGTGTATGGACATCTAATAATTTTTTTTCTAATTGTCCAATCCAACGGTCCATAATAAAAATAAAACAATCCAAGACAATTTTGCCTCGCATGACTAAGGCGCTCGCTTTCTCACCTTTCGCTTAAGCACAAGACGCTCGCTTTTCTTGCTTTTTTCTCGCTTCAGTCACATTCGCTTTATCTGGGGTGCTCAAGGCGAGAGACCCTCGCTTCGCTTCTCGCCTAGGCGAGTTTTTCAAAACACTGATTTGAAACATTTCCTTGTCTGAATTCTAGTAAATCACAACCTTCTAGGATGACTGAATCAAGAGCAGCATTAACGCAGAGAAGACGAGTCCAAGAATGGAAGGCTCAAAGAAACACTTAAAAGAGTTTTGTGGGAAAGTAGGCTTGCAAATGGTGCGATATAGGCGTAGGGGTGGTGAAGTGATGCTTTGTTCTGCAACTAAGCTTTACTCCATTCTATGTGGTACAAATTGTGAAGGTTATTTTAGGATCGCAGATCAATAGTGATTCTGTTAAAGGTCTACAGCGACTCATCGCCAGCTGAGAAGAGAAAGCTAGCTGCCATACGTTTGGCATTATCTTTGCATAATATGCATTCAAGCACATTAATATTTAAAGGATTCGACAAAAATATTTTTAAAAATTTTGTTTGATCAAACCATTTACTTTGAATTTCTCTTCTAATGCATATCTGCTCACCTTCTAGAACTCTGCAAGTTATTGCAGCAAGACCCAATCCTACATTTCAAAAACCGATCCAATTGGAGACCTTCCCAACATCAAACATCATTAACTTAACTCAGTTTTGACAAGTGCAAATCATACTTAACATAAAGCCTCCATTGATAAAAAAAGTTCAAGCTTAATCATGATCTTTGTACACATTTACTTTTACGTCACACTACATATCCTATCAAAAACATCATGATCCTAAACAGCTGAATCAACATCTCAGCGCAAGGAAACTGGCTCCAAATAATGACTTTACTAAAACATAGGTAACCATACAGGTAACTAAATCTTTACAGAGATAATAGACGAGATAAATCCTACTCGTATTGCATAACTATAATATCAACAGAAAACTTTTGGCAATTGCTGAACAGGTTAGCCAGATAGAGCTAGTATGCAAGTACACAAAGGAGGTCAAAGACAAACAGCAGTGAGAATTTAACATGTTGTATCAACAAATTTGTGCCTAAATGAATCACAAAATACCTCAATTGTACAGTCCCACCTCTAAAACTCGCCTTCCAGTAAATGATAATTGCCCAACTTGGACTTCTGAGCAAAGACTTCTAACTAAATCTAGTGAACCTTCCCACAGTTTCAGTCCACCTGCGGCAAAAAACAAACCCTTTTAATATGTGCATTCATGTTCAATCTACATCAATTCAGTAACACACTTTGNTCAATCTACATCAATTCAGTAACAAACTTTGTTCTCATTTTCCAAGCAAATTTTAACATACCTTCATATTTTCCCGGAACTAAATCTGAGTTGGACAGTGAAAAAACCTCTTGAGTACTCACTCGTCCCTAAAGAAAATGCCACATTTAGTTTAAGTTAATCAACCTAGAATTACTGAAACCCATACATTCTCGATTTTACAAAAGAATCATCTGTTTGGTTGCCAAGAACATTACTTATCTCTGATTTTTACTGTCGAAATAAAACAAATTATACAACCATATGGATAGATTAAGATGGGTCTTCATCAGTTTTAAAGCCAAAGCAACATGACCCATAAAATACAAAACTTTCATCTGTTCTCATTCACTTTCCTGTGCTTTCTCAGCATCCAAACAATAGGTTTCAGATAATAATTACCTTGAGCAAAGTAAGCCCATCTAAACTCACGGGCTCTACAGTGTATTTCACAGATGATGAAACCTATGCCACATCAAAAGAGCCAATTAGAACACATATACATATATTCTTTCCATGCATATATGAGTTACTCTGTGTGTATTTGTATGATACCTCTGAGGGAAATACTTCAAGGCAAGGTGGTGGAAGAGGGAGAGGCTTTTCTGGGGAATCGAGAAAACCTAATCCTGAACGAGCTTTGTCATCTGATGAAGAGAAGAGACGAAATGTTTGGATTTCTGATGGTTTTGCCTCCATTGCTCACTTCTCTCTGAGCTTCAGTGTTCAGTTCCAGAGGCCAGAGAACAAGTCTTATGGGTCATTTGGGTTTTGGGTCGCTATTAAATTGGGCCTGACTCGACTCGACGGCCCGTGAGGTTTTTGAACGTGAAAATTGGATTGACTCCTGAAGGACTTACAATGAGCTTACTCCATAAGAAAATTTATGAAAAAATTGTGAAAATATACACCATAAGTTATTTATCGAGAAATTTGGAAGTCGGTCCTCTTATATAGACTTATTAATTATTTTTTGTGCCTGAAGGCACAGAATAATAAAAAATGGTAAAGAATAAATATATTCGTATTTATATCAAAAATCAAATCACAAACATAAAAAATAGATAAATAAATTTAAGTATCGATTTGTAGTGACGGTGAAAGGTGGTGGGCGGCAATAGTGGTGGTAGGAGACGGTCATGCTTGTAGTGGATGGCAATGACTTTGGTGGTGGTGGCGGCGATGATGGTGGCAGTGGCAACGGCAACAGTGGCGATAGTGGTGGCGGCAGTGGGGATGGTGGTGGTGATGGCGGTGGGGATAGTGGTGGTAGAAATAGTGGTGAGGCGGTTTCAAATACTATTTTTTTTTAAAGTATTTATGAGAAATAATTTCTAGAAGTATTTTTAAAAAGTTACTCCAAACACACCCTTAAGGCCCTATTTTTTCTATTAAATTTAGGGTGTTAATATTAGTCGTTAGATTAACTTTAAATTAAAATTTAAAGCGATCTCAACCGCAAATAACAAAAATCATTTTGTTTATCTTTTGAAATTTGAATTATAAATTATTTTATTATATACTAGTTATTGTCTGTGTCTGAAGGCACAGAGTAATAAAAAATGGTAAATAATAAATATATTTATATTCATATTCAAAATCAAATCACAAAGAAGAGAAAAATAAATTTAAGTATTGGTTGTAGCAGGGTTGAGGGGTGGTAGGCGATAGTGGTGGTGGTAGGAGACGGTGATAGTTGTAGTGGGCGGCAATGACCGTGGCAGGGGCGATGGTGGTGGTGCTGGTACTGGTGATGATGGGGGTGGGGGTGGGGGTGGCGGCAACGGCAGTGGTGGCGACAGTGGCAGCGGCAATGACGACAATAAAGGTACTAGTGAAGCGGTTTCAAACACTATTTTTTTTTAAAGTACTTATGAGAAATAATTTTTAAAAATATTTTTACAAAATCACTCCAAACACACTATTAAAAATCTATTTTTTTCTATTAAATTTAGGGTGTTAATATTAGCCGTTAGATTAATTTTAAGGTAAAATTTAAAGCGATCTCAATTGCGAATAACAAAAATCATTTTGTTTATCTTTTAAAATTTGAATTGTAAGTTACTTTATTATATAGATATATTTGGAGATAAGTTCAGTAAAGAAATTCATTTGGTTTTAAGTTCATTTTTTATCAAGTTTACTATTGTACTCTTATTCATTAGAAAAATAATAATCGATGTCTGACTTACCGTCTCTTTCACTCAGATTATTGAGGTATATATGTCTTTATTAAGTTATATATGAAAATCGTTTATTAAATATTTGGATAATTATCAAAAATTTTATATGAAAATTATATATTTTGATAGTTATATATAATATTATATACGGAAGCTTGACGTATTTGGGAACACTCGTATCAAAACTCTGAGCTATAATGTGCACAGGATTATAATCTTTCTGTGATACAGTCTTGCTAGTTTTCTGTAAGAGGATGATGGAGAGAGAATCTTCGGACGAATATGAAGATCAAGAGAACCTAATCGACCAAAATGAAAGACCAGGTAAGTCTCCCCCCAAACACTCGACTTTCCACGTTGACGATTTCAAGAACAGGATCACCGAAAACCGTCGGTTTAGCTCCAATTAGAGGTTTCTTTTTGCCATTTTTCTCCCACTTTTCATCATCATAGTTTACTTCTCCACTGACATTAAAAATCTATTCCAAACCAGAGTTTCCGACCTCAAATTCGATGCTTCCATAAATCGCATGCGCGAGTCTGAATTACGCGCTTTGTATTTGCTGAGAGAACAGCAATTTGGGCTTTTCAATTTATGGAATTATACATTTGGNCGATGCTTCCATAAATCGCATGCGCGAGTCCGAATTACGCGCTTTGTATTTGCTGAGAGAACAGCAATTAGGGCTTTTCAATTTATGGAATCATACATTTGCTACCCAATCAAATTTTACCGCACCAAATTCTATGAACTCTAGTGCCAATAGTACTGACTCGAGTCCGGCATTACATGATCTTTTTTCGCCTTTATCATCTCCTGCATTGCTAGAGGATCTCAAATCTGTGGTGCTTAATCAGATCAATTTGCATAAACAAATTCAGCAAGTTTTGTTGTCATCGCATCAATCCGGAAATTTCTTGGATGTAGCTGATGATGTTACGGATCCGAGTCTTTATGTTGGCGTGAATAGTTGCCGAAAAGTCGATTAGAACCCTTCCCAAAGGAGAACAATTGAGTGGAAGCCGAGATCGAATAAGTTCTTGTTTGCAATTTGCACATCTGGGCAAATGTTGAATCATTTGATTTGTTTAGAGAAGCATATGTTCTTCGCTGCGGTACTTAGTCGTGTTTTAGTTATTCCGAGCTCCAAAGTTGATTATGAGTTCAGTCGTGTCTTAGATATCAGTCACATAAATAAATGCTTGGGGAGCAAAGTTGTTGTTACATTTGAAGAGTTTGCAGAGAATAAAAAGAAACATTTGCACATAGATCGATTTAAATGCTATTTCTCCTCGCCACAACCTTGTTTTATGGATGATGAGCGCGTTAAGAAGTTGAAGGGGGATTTCAATGAATAAACTTGAGTCTGCTTGGGTTGAGGATGTTAAGAAGCCAAGAAAGAGGACAGTTCAAGATGTCATGGCAAAGTTTTCTATTGATGATGATGTTGTTGCAATTGGAGATGTATTCTTTGCTGATGTTGAGAAAGAGTGGGTGATGCAGCCAGGTGGTCCTATTGCACACAAATCTAAGAGTCTGATTNGATGTTGTTGCAATTGGAGATGTATTCTTTGCTGATGTTGAGAAAGAGTGGGTGATGCAGCCAGGTGGTCCTATTGCACACAAATGTAAGACTCTGATTGAACCAAGTCGTCTTATCATGCTCACTGCCCAGCGATTCATCCAAACATTCATGGGAGGGAACTTTATAGCACTTCATTTTCGGCGTCATGGGTTCTTGAAGTTTTGGTATGGTGTTCTTTCCCTTTATTTATTGCTTCCATGTTTACCAGGCTTGCTTCTACTATCTTCTGATCAACAGTTTTGAAACATGTAAAACTTTAAATATGCATTACCAGGTAATGCTTGTGGGTTTTAATCCTTGTAGTCATTCTTAGGTATTTCTATCTCGTTTTACTCTCATGCCAATTATGTTTCTGTATATTCGCATTCATAGAGATATGCATCACAGTGCCCCTGACAATTCTTACTTTATTTTGTCAGCAATGCCAAAAGTCTAAGTTGCTNACATGTAAAACTTTAAATATGCATTACCAGGTAATGCTTGTTGGCTTTAATCCTTGCAGTCGTTCTTAGGTTTTTCTATCTCGTTTTACTCTCATGCCAATTATATGAAATATGCGCATACACCAAGAAGGTGCAGTTGAGATATAATCTTGGTAACGTGGTACATGCCTTTGTTTGTGGTTCAATCAAAATTTTATTTAGGTTTTTCTTTTTTGTTTCTTTCTTTTTTATTGTTGGCAATGAGTGTTGAGCCTTGACTACTCCACTCAAATAAGATGCAATGCTTGTGTATAAGGCGTACATCATCAATGGTCATACGAGTAAAGTTTATTTCATGAATGTGGGACTATCATGTGAGCAAGTATGGTATGTTTCTGTATATTCGCATTCCTAGAGATATGCATCACAATTCCCCTAACAATTCTTACTTTATTTTGTCAGCAATGCCAAAAGCCCAAGTTGCTTTTATCCCATTCCTCAAGCTGCTGATTGCATTAATCGAGCAGTTGAAAGAGCCAATACTCCAGTAATTTATCTTTCTACAGACGCTGCAGAAAGTGAAACTGATTTATTGCAGTCCCTTGTTGTGCTAAATGAGAAGATTGTACCACTTGTGAAGAGGCCAGCTCGAAATTCAGCTGAAAAATGGAATGCTCTATTATATAGACACAGCCTTGATGGAGATCCTCAGGTAAACATGATTTCTTTTCTATTTTTTTAGTTCAAATATGCATAACAAGCCATTATATAATATTTCATATGCATGTCTTTGTTCTTTTCATTGAATGCATACCATCAATAAACCTAACATTTACAACCTGTTTTAAATATATTGTCAATTATTTGGGAAGTATGTTGGGTTTAGAATGCATTTAGTTCAACTAGTTGATGCACGCGTGTGTTGCACGCCAACTATTTTGAATTTTTGTAAAACAAATAGATAAATTGAATAAATTTTTTTTTATATGAAGATGGTTATATATTGTATGATGGTTATTGAATTTTATAGGGCTCACTTGTCCACTTGTTCCCTTGTTGGTGGACAGTTACAAAAAGTGGTATTTTTAACATGGGGTAACTGTTACGCTTAAGATTTTTCTTGTATTTTGGGTTGTATGAACTGAATTGCAAAAGGTTCAAAATAGAAAATTGAATTGCATTACATTTAAAAACTGTAATGTTTTATTTCAGTAAGTAATTAATAGATGGATGACTACTGATTTCTTAGACTAATAAGAAGTTACTACAATATGTTATTATTGTTTTTTTAGCTTTTTAAGATAGTATTATTAATTAAGTTTTTGTTTGACAAGTATTGACATTCAAAAGTACTAAATAGATTATTAGATATGTTCAAATATTTATTTTTTAGCGAATTTGGATTGCACTATGTACCTACAAACATATACAAATATATGATGTAATTTGGTGATTTTTTAATAAAATTGAGTAGAAATTCATGTGTGAAATATTAAAATCGTTTCTAATTAATTTAGTCGGATCAAAACGAATATCTATCTTAACAAACTCATATATGCACTGTGAAAAATAAAATTCATTGGACAATTGAATTGGATTCGGATCACATTGTTCAAATCAGATTTTGATCGAATTTATATTATTTAGAAAGAGGATAATCAAAAGTCAAACAATGAATTTATTAGTTCAATTAACACAACTAATAAAAAAACAAAAAAATTCCTCAAAAAATGATATAGTAGACATTATAAAATTTTTGAATGATAAATAAGAAAATCAAAAGTTTTATCTTCAGCCACTTTAAAAAGGCTAAAATAGACTTTATAAAATTATTGAAGGATAAATAATGAAATCAAAAGTTTTTCACATAAACCACTTTTATTAGTAGTATAGATATAGATATAGATTTGCTTCTGGAATTTTCCACGTAGTATGTATGGCGCCTTAAATGCTGAGCCTTTGTTGCTTTCCCGAACCGGACTGGCCGGTCGAACCGGTTGGACCTTAAACCGGAGCCTAGACCGGTCCGGTTCTTGAGTTAGACCGCTTAGGCAATTAAATTGCCAGTTAATCGTTAAACCGGCTGATTTTGCCTTAAAACCCTGAACCGGGCAAGTTCTTCAAACCAAGCAGTTTGCAATTTAAAGAATAAAAAAAAATGAAATCAATTTTTTAGGGCAATTTTACCCCAAATCGACTTCGATCGAACCCTCAGTGTGGAGTTCGTCATCTTCTCCGTATGCAGTGCAGCGCCTGCAGACGCAGAGGCCCTCTTCGACTTCGAATCTTCACTAGACGCTCACAGAGGTAGAAGCAATCTCCTCCGAAGCTCAGCAGCTGTCCGTCTCCCTCCGCCTTCTATGATTGTAACTTTTCTTCTTATTCTTCTCTCTTTGTTCTCCTCTATCTCAATCTCAGTCTTTGCCCCTCTCTCTCTTTTTCTCACACACACGCAACAAACTCTTGAGTCAGGAGTCTTGACTGAACCAGTTCAAAAAAAAAAAAGAGTCTTGACTGAACACACTCTTAACAATACTATAATATTAAAAAAATATAATATAATTGCCTCGAAAAGGCACACATTAAAAAAACACTTGCCTCAAAAATGTCATTGCCTTTGAGAGTTGAGAGGGTAAAAAGGCATAAGCAGGTTTTTTTTGAATAGAATTATGTATTTATGGTGTTAAGTTTATGGTAAATTGTATATATTGTGGACATGTGTTTATATTTTTTTAATTAAATTATTATATTTTATATATTTTTTTTAATTTTATATTATATAACCGGTTTGACCAGTTGACACAACGGTTGAACCAGTGAACCATTGATCCAGTCCCCTTACCGGTTCGATGACCGACCCGATTCTAATAACATTATGCTATATCTTGTTAAATCAGATCTCACCATTATATTTGTGAGGTTACAAGGCAATCTTTCCACTGCACCTATAATGACCATATATGCTGGTGTTAATGTAAAAGGATTGAATCTTAGGTTTTTCATTTTATTAGCTTATACCAATCCATAGGCTATTAAAATAAGAACAAAAATTTTATTTTGTATCATTGCTTCTTTCAAGAGATGGAATTTTTGCATTTTTCATACTATTAAAGATTTTGTGCACTTTGAGTAAACTTGTGGTAAGAAGTACGGACACAGATACGATACGACACGGACACATAAACATGACATTTTTCAAAAACGTAGGACACAGACACGTTATATGTAATTGTGTTTTATATATAAAATTATATAATTTATCACAAATATAGTGTTAATGATATATTATTTATAAAAAATTAAGTATTCTATGATAAGTATATGTTATCTCTAATGATATAGTGTGAATATTTAGACTAACTTTATAATAATAAATAATTATCAATTTTTTCGTAGATGTGTAATATACATATATAATTTAAATTATTGCTTTCATCTCAGTTGCTCTTTTTTAAATCTTTTATGTATCTTTTACATTTATTATTATATTTTAAGTACCACTTTAATATGTCTACTCTTGGTAATTATATATTCTCTCATAGTATAAGATACTTAATAGTCAAATTTTTAAGCTTGTTAATCACATGTCAACACATGTTTGTTTTTTAGTAGTAGATACGATTTAAAGAAGTGTCGGACAAATGTCCGAAATTAAAATTTTATCATTTAATTATAGACACAGATAAAAGAGTATTGAATAAATGTCCGAAGAGTGTCGGTGTCCAACACGGATACGTCACATTTTTAATAGTGTCCGTGCTTCATAGCTTGTGGTACTATAGTAAGAATTATTGCGAGATACCAATATTAATATAGTGTTCTATGGTCCTTCAAAAATCCCCTCCCCACTTTACAAACACTTTCTGGGAGAAGTCAGGGTACCCGAGCTCTGTGATATACTAGTAGGACTATGGTAAAGGATTGGGGCTGATTAGTAAAAACTTGAGGCCCATGAAGTTGCAATATTTCTGGCTGCATTTTCACTCAGACCCATTGGTGTTTTCCTGGTTTTTTTTTTTTTTCAATAACGGATGATCATGCAAACCATGTGTTCTTCGTACTTATGACTGCACCGCAAATTTGGGATATGCATATACACTTCTTCAAACCATACACATTGGGTAAATCAGAGTTCTCTAGCAAGTCAAACTTGAGACCATGACCAAATAAATTCTAAAAGTCTTGCCTCCCAAGCTACCATAAACATTATGGGGTTGTCTTACTTCTGTTCTTTGCAGAACTTCTTGTCCATAGATTTTTACCCTAATTTCAACAAGATGCCACTCTCAACTCACTGTGTATTCATTTTCATTTTGAAGGTGGAAGCTATGCTGGATAAGACCATCTGTGCCTTGTCTAACGTGTTCATTGGATCATCCGGATCAACTTTCACAGAAGACATTTTGCGGCTTCGGAAGGACTGGGGATCAGCATCACTATGTGATGAGTACCTCTGTCGGGGTGAAGTGCCGAATTTTATTGCAGATGACGAATGAGGGATATAGATTTGCCCACTTCTGGCCCTTGTCCTGGTTCACCTTTGCTCCAATATTTTTTCATTGCTGAAGATGGCTAATTTGGCCTGTATTCTTGTGTGTGTTTATAGTGAGTTGGATGAGTAATGCTACAATATGTGAAATAGAGTGAAAATTGGAATTGTTCCACGATAATCAATTACAATGTCCTTAAAATGGAGAAAATGAGAGAAATATTCATGCAAGGGAGGTTTGGAAAAAGAAATTGCAGTCTCCTGATATGTACAACTATTAGGCCAGAGCTTTTGACCCATCCCACGGGGTTTTAAAATTTTTTTTCCAAATAATGGTTGATTTCAGAGTAATTTTCAAACCCAGGTTGTTTTTAAAAATGTCAAATGTTCTGACATTTTTAAGTTAAAGACGTCAAATGGACTGACGTCTTTAACTTAAAAATGTCAGTCCTTTTGAAATTTTTAAGACGAAGATTGTGGCCCACATTCAATTTAAACACGCCAAATTGACTGACTTTTTTATTTAAACACGTCAGTTCATTTGACCTTTTTAAGTTGAAATACCTTGACTCTATTTTTTCCTCTTCCTTCGTCCTTCTCCTTTATTTCCCCCAAATTATCTGGTCTGAGCTGAGTGGCATATGAATCTTTCTTATTAGTTTGTCATATATACCTCTTCTTTTTTTTTTTTTATCACTTTCTCGAGACATGTTTGAATGTTATTTGTTTGCTGGTCTGGTGCTTGTGAAATTAGCCTCTCATAATAGCTCACGTAGATGATCTTTTGTTTTATGTTTTTTTTTTTTTGGGTGTTTTTTCTTTTTCTTATCGTTTGGGCTGGGATGTCTTCTTGATAGTATTTTCATGTTTATTTTCTCAGAAATGTGCTTCCATGTGGGAAAAAATAGTTACAATGAAAAATATGCATCCTTCTCCTCCTCCTCCTCCTCCTCATATACAACAGGTACACTAGCCAATGTGGGAGTCCTCTCATGAGAGCTGGTGGGGCTTCTTCAAATTGCTAGGAGAACATATCCGGATTAGAGAGATAAATGAGAACTAGAAGAAGTGGACTCAAGTGGGATTTGACCACAAACTCGTTGCTGTCCGACTGGGCAACGATTTCTGTGGCCTATGCCCCATGGTACGATTTGAGATCACATTCAACTGGCCTCTCTCTTTCAATTTCAGAAAACTAAATCACTCACATAGTAACATGCGATGTAAAAGCAAATTTTTCAAAAATTTAAAAGAAAGTGTATAATGTTCAATAATCTAATTTCAAAATTGCTGCTCTATATTCTAAATCCCTTGGGGCTAAATGGTTTATTGTAACTATAGATCGATTTGGGGTGATGTTACTGTTTGATGTCATCATCTAATAATAAAATATCTAATAAATAAAATTAACGAAAACACCCCTAGTGATTATGTGTCAAAATATGATACCATCATGTAACACAACACAAATATGACACAAAATTAGAAAATTTTAGTTTTTTTAGCAATACTCATTTAATAAAAGAGTGAATTTAATATATCACAATTAATAAATAAATTAGGTATAAATAAAATTAGTTAAAATAAATACACAATATAATCCGTTTATATAATACTAATACATAATTCATACACGGCATAAAAACGCTAAAACGTTATCCTGTTGGTCACAAATTAATAAACTTATATAAATAAAGTATTTTTTTTTTACACTATTAATACTCTAATAGGAACTCACCCCACCCCAGTCAACACGATTAGGATAAACGGTTACATTCAATATTAGTGTATCTCTGTGTCACTCTCTCACTTGCCTTCAAATGCGCGCCGCTTCGCCGCCCATAGGATGGTCTCGTGGAAATATTGGTAGTTCTTCATCTTCTTCTTCTCTTTGATCTACACGCAGAGTTCGTCCTTGGTTCCAAATTTCACCACTTCTTCATAAAATCATCCTCAGAGTTGACGAACTGCCAATATGAACTGATCTTTTTTGAATTGATTTCATATCATTCAATCACGACGGTGGTTTTTTGTTTGTTTTTGTTTTATTGGAAATCGAACAATTCATTTATTTATTTTAGGGTTTTACAACTGCCTTAAAATTCTTCATTTTGTGGTTATTCAAGACAAGTAAAACAACATACGCATATAAGATTGACTGTACTGTGGTTGAGAGATTGTATCATGAGAGCTAGGTTGATAGTGTTTCCGATCAGAGGGAGGAACTGGTGCTTTAGCAGATCGATTGACCAGTCCGTTTTGGACTCTCAGTATTCCCAAACTCCTTCCACGTTCAAACAACTCTGGATTAAGATCTCATCCTCTGAGAAAGCCACCGACTCCAATGCCGAGCTGCTTATTGATTTCGTTGCTAATAAGGTCGGTCACACACTGTGTCCTTCATTATCTTCTCTTGTTACTGTATGCTATATGTAATGCAAAAATACGTGGGCTGTTTCGTTCGTTCTATATTGTGATATTCTGATGTTCAGATTTTTCGACATTTATTATTTAGATGAATAGGGCCTGGACTGGTCTTGAAAAAGCACCACCTGGAAGTTTCAAAAACAAGATTCATGGGTAAATTTCACTTCATATTAGTTACCCCTGAAAATGTTTGAACGTGGAATAGGTCTTAATTTTACTGTATTTACCATTACCGAATCTAATCTAATTCCTTTGTTAGGTTGGGATTACGCCTCTTGGCTGGCGTTAGGCCTTCTGAGATTTTCTTGAAATCTATATCTAAGGAGGTTACAAATGTTGAAATTACTTACCCCTCCAGGTTTGTTTCTTTCATATATTTTTTCTCAACCTTTTGGTGTTTCATATGTTTTCCCTTTTTGCTTTTATTGGTACTTGGTTGGCTAAGATGACATTACTGCATGCTGGGTTAGCATTGTTTTGGTGACCAAAGCAAAGTGATTCTCAGAATATTGATATTGATATTAAAAGTGGGGAAAGGTCTTGAAATGAGAATTTCCAAAAACAAAAATGTGATTAACATATGTAGCCATGCCAAGATAAGATAAAATTATAGGCTTCGATGTTGTTGACTATTAACAAGGATAGACCAAATCAGATGGTTAGTGAGAGCTCTTCTAGAATTTAATTAAAGAAAAGGTTGGTAATTGCGCAAGGCTAAGGTCCATAAATCATTCTGTATGATTACAGGCCTGAGTGGTAGAGTCTTGGTAACTTGTAAATGAGAGGGGAAAAAAAAAGGTACTGGACTTTCTAAAAGTAGAGTATTTTGACCACCGGTAACTAATAAACTCTAGTCCTGTATGACATGTTAGCCAGGGGTTTGTATGTATCACATAAGAAAGCTCTTTGATAAGAATTGCAAAACTTTGAAAATGCTAAATGAGTGGGGATGAAGCATTTTATTAACCATATCCGGGAATAAGTGAGAATGTGATTATGATAAATATCTTGGTAATGAGGCAATTCAGAGTGGTTGAGAAATCCTAACACGTGAAATAAGGATGCTAAACTTAACTCCATCTATTCAACGGATAATCAAAGATTGTGAAATACTGTTTCAAAAGATTTTCAAATGTGCATCTGACACTGATTTTTTTCCTTCATGGTGGTAATGCGAGAGTCCTTCTGATTAATTATTAGAAAAATGAGACTCCCTGGATTGAGTAGTATCACTAGCATGGTCTAGGGAGTGTACATGAATTGATGGCTCAATTTATTTAATTCATGCAATTCACTAAAGAAGGGGGGAAAAAGAAAGGGGGGGGGGGGAGGTTTTAGATTTGACATAAGATTCAGGATCAATCTTCAAATGAGAAAAAAAGATGCACTGAATAATTTTAGTTTAATTTTTATAATGACTTTTGGTTACTCTTTGTTTATTCTATTGCAGTTTAAATGCACGGCTGGTCCGCCGAAGGCTACGACATATTGCCTTTAGGTAATTTTGTCATCTATTCCATTTTTATTAGTTTTTAACCTCGTAATAGTAGGAGGTGTCTTCATTTTTTTATCACCCATAACACTGCATCTTTAGATTGTTGTCTCGTTTTTTGTGGTGTGAGCTAGAGTTTTGGATAGCCCAAAAATATCACTTTAACTGACAGAGATTTACTTTGTGTCATTCTCAACTGTTCTCCGCAATTGTAGCAGCTTTGGGAGACCTGGTTTGGTTTGGGTTTGGGATGGGTCTTTAAGATCGCAATAGATAATTTGGTATCCAATTGTTATGAGTCTTAGGTATGAAAAAGTCTGCCAACTGTTTCTGTTGCCAATAGTGAATAGTAATGAAATTGCCATTAAAAGCAAGATGCTAATAATATGTATTAAGAACATCTTCTCCTTTGTGCATCACTTGATAACCTTAACTACCTTTGTTTTTCTTTCCATAATGCCCCTGCTCTAATTGAGGGTAGCCATTAATCATTGACTTCTTGCAACTCTCACTTGTGACAACGCGATGGCTATGAAAATTCTCGTTGATTTCTAATTTTTAAAGGCGTGGAATGCACTAGAATAGGACGATAGACCTTTTTTTGAGGATCAACTCCAACTAGTCAAGATGGGGTTTCTTTGAACATCACTTCATTCTTTTGCAACTACCAGCTTGACCAAAATCAACTTTGAGCATGCTTTAACGCACTCCATTGCACATGCACCCACACAATAAACACAGATAGAAATAGAATAGAAACAGAAAGATAGACACTAATTGGTTGAGCTTGGTTCAATATTGCCATGCTGCATTATCTCAACAGTAGGCATGCACCACACACAGAAGCAGCTGCATCTAGTCCGGGATTTCACTTGATTAAGTGATAGTTCTCTTTCTGAAGTATCTCCATGTATTATTATCATGGTTAAGCGTCACTGGTTGAGAGGGAGGGAAGATATCAATAACATCATGACATAAATAATTCACTGGAGCTTCCTCTTCCATGACCCTTAAAATTCTTCTGTATGAAAAAAATCTCCTTCCTTGTAAGCATATTTACTGGTAGTGTGCAGAGCTTTTGAATGTACGAATAATATCACTTAATATGTAATGTTATTCAATGATGTATGTTTCCCAAAAATTTTGTCATGCTAATGTAGAATCATATCACTGATCATTATAGGGGAACTGTTATTCACAAGAAATACTTCTATGGATCAGTTTCGATGCTTCCACTGACAAGTGCCTTCGCAGTATGTATATTTCTTTTCTGTTAGAATGTCAAATGCAATTTTTTTCTGTCCTTTTGGTTATTCTAAAAGGTTTATCTCTCTCTGGGCATTTAAATGTAAATTCATTACCTAGTTCTGGTTCTGCCAGTGTGGGGCTCTTTCCTGGATATCCACATTTTATCATACAAATTGTTTTGTACGATCTATTGCATTGCACGTTTGACCTCCTTTTTCTTTTTTAATGTTGTATAGGTTCTTCCTTTGCCTAACATACCCTTCTTTTGGGTCTTATTCCGCACTTATTCTCACTGGAGAGCTCTCAAGGTGAGCAAATTTTCTTCATTCTATAACTAGTTGGGGCCTTCCGTTTATGTTTTGGTGGAATGTTTTAGTGTAAGCTGTGTAACGTTTTACCATGGGACGGTTGACAAATGAGCATGTTAATGTTGGAGTTGACATTTTTAAGTGAACCAACTGAACAACTCCTAGTGAAATTCAGCACCTTATCCCAATCGTTGCATTTCTATTGTGCAAGCTGCGAATCAATTGTTATTGTTCCTCTGCTTAGTTTGGCCATTTCTTTCTGTTACATTGTTGGCCATCTTACCTTTCTTGCACCATCAACCTGTGATCTTTATGCCCTCCGCTTGTCATCTACACTGCTGTTGGTGGTACTAAAAAGGAATTATGGGCCTCCATTGTGCATGAGTGAACCATCTCGAGCCGACTCTTTGCCATATTGTCTTAGTTGGCAATACTTCTAAGTTCTAAGTCCATATTGCTCACGTGTCTCTCTCTAATTGCATGAAATGCTATTCCTTCATCGGAATATTTTTATTCCTGTAGGATTGGTTATGTGGTGGCACTTGTCACGTTAGAAGCACAACATTATTCATTATTCTTATTATCTCATTAATTTTTTCCCTTGATATGGAAATGATGTGGTTTCTTTGGATCTATTGATCTAATTTGTGACCTAATCTACTGATGGAGTTGCAACGAGTCCCCATCCAATATTTGGACCCACTACTAATCCAACATCAAGAGTGGATTAGCTCAAAATAAATTAAACGGTAAGAGTGGATTAGCTCAACAAATTTGATCTAAGTAGCATTACTCTTCTTTGAATGTTGTTGATGTTATACTTATTTTATGGCTGATTCCTGGTTTTCTGATCTATAGTTCACTCGGTTTCTGGTATGCATTTAGCACGGGCTGATTCCTGACCCTAGCATCTGCTAAGAAATCATAAGCTTTGTTATGTCTTATTTGGGTTCAACCTCCTTTTAATCCATGGAACTTCAACCTGATTGATTCATTATCTTTTGCGGTTCATGTTGATTGTTGCAGGGGAGCGAGAAACTTCTTCAGCTGGTATCAGATACCTCTGAGAGTAAAACTCCAAATGAGAACTCAGAGAAGGCAGACCACAATTCACTTGGTGTTCAATGGGTAAGGAATTTTATCCTAACATACTAAATGGTTGAAACTCGAAACATGATGCTAACTGGAAAGTGGTGGCTTTAGTCCTTCAAAATTGTGTCATATATAGCTAAGGGAATTTTTTTTCTTGTTTTAACTTTAGTCTAGCGAACACGTGTTCTGTGGACTGTAGTCATCTTTTGTTGACAGTATTGATTTGAGTTTAAAGCAGAAGAAACTGGGTTATACTTACTCATGACCAGACTAAAACTCTCTACTCCATTCAACATCTTCCGTTTCCGTCTGTTTTTCTGGCCATAATCCTATGCCTTGGTTTGACAGTTTACGTCACAGATTTCGTCGCTGCATGACAAAGTCCGTCCTCATTGGTCAAAGTTAGAAAGCTCAATTTGGTATCAAGTATTTGGTAATTTGCATGTACTTTGGCTGAGAATAGTTTCTGAACACTTTCCCTGGTTTTGGTGAATACATGCCTCAATATTTCCAACTAACCATTATACTATTGCAATATGATATCTAAAGTGTCATAGTTCACTGCATACTGATGGCTAAAGTATGCAAGCCATGCATTGTGTTGAAATCATAATTGTTGTTCTGTGGATGGATAGACACACCAGCGGCGTGTTGAAGCATCAGAAGAATTTGATCTAGTAGCGAATGACGTTGTGGGTTTGACATCAATTCTGTCATAGACTTATGGTTCTGCTTAATATTGCCTTGTCACAATTTCTATTTTGATTATACCTGTTGCTTTCTTTTTGTTGTCGAGTTTGTGTTTGCAGTTCACTTGAATTCACCTGTCTGCTGTGTCAAGATAATATTCTTCTTTCTGCATTTAGGTACTGCAACCATCAGAGGAACTTGAGAAACAACTTCATTGCGGAGATGATGATGATGGTCTCAGTAAGGATACTATATCAGATATCTGCAAGACATATGATTTAAACACGATTGATGTTCTGAAGTACAGAAATTCAGTGTAGCTAAATTTGATGATTTCTTTTCTTTTTTGGCTGTCATTTGTTGCATTACTCCTCCAGGATTCTTTCTGATGGAAAGGAAATGCCATTTCTTTCTCTGTTTTCTTTCTATGGTCCGTCTTCTTGAACCTTGAAAAGAGACTTCAAAATGTAATAAGTAGGCAATGTTGGGCGGAAGAACCTTGATCAATAAATCCGTGAAAACGATAGCTTATGGGGGGGTGGGGTTTGGTTTATAGGAGTGGTGGTTTTATCTAGGTAGCGGCAGCATGATCAAAGCCGATGACTATGTTTATACAGTTGTATATCATATTATGCATGTTAGAATAGCGTAAATCATTCTATCAATATATTTTAATAATTTTTTCTAAGGAGATCATTGAACATTTATATCTATTTTACCCCCCCTTAAACTATTATCTTTGTTTTATTTTACACGCTCAACTATAATTTTTTTTACATTGCATCTTAAAGTATTAATTTTATTTTATATCACTCCAATAAACATCGGCTGTCAATTTTTTGATGATAAATGCACATGTGAATAGTTTGTATTATCAATAAGTAATTGTTTATTGCACATGTGCAAGTTAAAAATCAAGAAAAATATTTTTTGATAGCTTTATCTGTCCTATGCTCTAAATTTTATTCTTTTTACAGACTTTTTTTTCCCACCAACCATTTAGTTGCAAAAGATGTAAAATAAAGTGGTTTTAGGCACTTGGTGGGAAGTTCTTTGTGGTTTTTTTCAATCCTTTGATAGATTTTTAAGTTTATTATTATTTATTGTAGTGATATGAAACAAATTTGATATTTTAGGGTACAATGTAAAAAAATTTCTAATTGAGGGTACAAAGTAAAATAAAAATAATAGTTCAACTCTAAAATATAAGAGATTAGAAATTGTCCGGGTTAAAATGCACTATATAACTAAAATTTTATCGAATACAATAAAATTTTATCCATATTTCATATATGAGTCAATTTAATCAGAAAAGAGATGCGGAGAGTGTTTTTATTTTACTGTCTTTTATAATTTCACTTGTCTATTTTCCAAAGGGGGTGTTAGTGTAAATAGACGGCGAAGGGCAAACTACGGAATAAAATGACAGGATGAAGGGCAAATTCGGGAAAAAAAGAGATGGAAATGTTCATGTGACGGTGGCGACCACCGCTAAATAAATAAGTCGCAGAAGGGCATGTAAATGAATCGTGGGTTACAAGAAACGAATTGCCANTGACGGTGGCGACCACCGCTAAATAAATAAGTCGCAGAAGGGCATGTAAATGAATCGTGGGTTACAAGAAACGAATTGCCAAGACAAGAGGTGAGCTTTACTGAAGAGTTTGAGCGATGGCGACTGAGGATGAGATCAAGGACGAGAAGAACCCCCCACCTCTCGATGAAGACGATATAGCTCTCCTCAAAACCTATGTATTGTTTTCTTCCCCTATTATGCCCTAATTTTCAGTTCTCGTTTGGTTCTTCTGTGTTTGATTTGATTTGCTTTGTTGATAGCTTCTTGATTCTCCGATGCTATGTTGTTTGTGTCTTATGCTGTTTGATTATGGAAAGAACTGAGTTTAGAAGGATCGAATTTGAAAATTGCGTCTTTTATCACTTGCAATAAACCAAAAACCGACTTCAAATGAGCAGTAGTCGTACGTGGCTAAGCTTAGCTTGGAATTTGTCTTTTCGAGTCCCAAAATTCTAGTATTTGAAAATCACGGAAAAATTATTTCCAAGAGGCTTGGGTGGATACTTGTGCAGCTTTGCCCTTTCATTATTCGAAAGATAGGCGTTGGTGTGTTCGTAAATGATATCTGCACCATGTTTGGGGGTTCTGCGCTAAGCCCCACCCTTTGCCTCCTAATGTAAACAAGTTCAAATTAAACGCAAGTGGATCTACCCGTCTAGATTTTTTCTTCCTTTTACCCATATACATATTTATACGTTGGTTGTGGCATTTGATGAGTTGATTTTTTGGGGTTATTCTTTCCTTGTCACTTAGGATGAACCACTGGAATGATTTATGCAGGGTTTGGGACCCTATTCTAACAGCATAAAGAAAGCAGAGAAGGAAATTAAGGAAATGGCTAAAAAGATCAATGATTTATGCGGTATGTTATAGTTCCTATTCACATTTTCTCTGATTTGTAGATCCTTCATCATCTAATATTGTCTGTAACGGTCATATATATCTTGATGTTGTCATTGTTCTGGTATGCTAAAACTAAATGACCTTGTTGTACAGTTTGTCCAGTTACAATCACCGATTGTCATTTCTAGCTTTGTTATCTATTGTTTCTTTAATTTATCGTAATCAAGAATATCTTGTTCAATTGTTTCTTTCTTACTTTTTTTTATGGGTATTGGAATTAATCTAGTTATATTGTACACCTCAATATTTCCTGAAAATATAACTTTGGTCTTCATCTCAAAACAGGTATCAAGGAGTCTGACACTGGATTAGCTGCACCCAGCCAATGGGATCTTGTTTCTGATAAGCAAATGATGCAAGAGGAACAACCTCTTCAGGTGGTGCTACTTTATATTTGTGGAGGCACAGTTTTTGTATTCCATTTGTTCTCTTTCTAAAGCTGTGATTGGTGTTTTCACTAGGTGGCAAGATGCACCAAGATAATCAATCCAAACACTGAAGATGCAAAATATGTTATAAATGTTAAGCAAATTGCTAAGGTATATCCTCTATGGATCTCCTCACCAACTTGTTACTTCTGTTCTTTTT